AGACCATCTCCAACAGGCGCCCAACGCGCGACACGCTAAAATCTGGTTTGCGGCGCGCCCATCGTCAGGTTTGGCGCGGCGCACAGCGCTGGCTCCAGCAGCCGCGCTAAAATGCAGCGCGCGCGAGCAGCTGGCGCATCACATTTGTTGCATTTTGTCTCACAACACATCCACAAAACAAAGACATGGCATATAATTTTTAAATCACAAACATCATTCAACCAAGTTTAAAATGGATAATTCAATTTATTACAACTCAAACAAATAGTATCTTTCATGAAATACAACAAATAGTTCAACAATACAATATCAAACGCACAAATCATGATGCTCTTTGGCGGCCATTCCAAGCCCACCACTCCTCAATGAGATCCTTCTTGAGTTCATTATGTGCTGTCGGACGTCGAATGGCATGATAAGAGGCAACAAAACGGGCCACCCTTTCAGCCCTCCGCCGCACTCGCACGGGATGTCCCAAGAGCTCATAGTGAGAGTAGTCTACATCCTGGCCACGCTCATTCTCGATGATCATGGTGTGCATGATCACACAAGCGTGCATTATGTACCAAAGCATCTTCTGATCCCAAAATCTAGTCGGTCCTCTCACAATAGCAAATTGGGCTTGCAAAATCCCAAAAGCTCTCTCCACATCTTTTCTAGCCGCCGCCTGAGTATTGTGGAAATCAAGATATTTCTTACCTACCGGTTTTTTCAACGGCTTCACAAATGTTTGCCACTTTGGGTAGATGCCATCCGCAAGATAGTAGCCATGGTTGCATGTACGACCATTAGCTACAAACTGCACCGGTGACAGTTCACGATTTGCAATCTTACTCATCAGTGGTGACCGGTTGACAACGTTGATGTCATTCAAAGATCCGGGCATTCCAAAAAAAGCATGCCAAATCCAAGTCTCTTGATCGGCCACCGCTTCAAGGATTATAGTGGAATCCTTTTTTTGTCCGTGGAATTGGCCATGCCATGCCTTTGGACAATTTTTCCAACTCCAATGCATGCAATCTATTGAGCCAAGCATACCTGGGAACCCGCGAGTTTTGTTCATCTCCAATAGCCTTGCAATGTCTTCAGCATTGGGAGTTCTCAAGTACTCCGGGCCAAACACTTGCACAACTCCGACTGCGAAGCGCTTGACACACATGATGGCTTGGCTCTCACCCATGGCCAAGTGATCATGAACTAGATCAGCGGGGATACCGTATGCCAACATACGCAAAGTGGTTGTCACCTTCTGAAAGGTTCTATGCCCGAGCTCTCCGGTGGCATTCCTCCTCTGCTGAAAAAACCGGTCATGGCTCGCTAGTTTCTCTGCAATGCGCCTGAACAACTCAGTGCTCATCCTAAACCAGCGATGAAAGTACGACTCGGGGTATATGGGATTATCCACAAAATAGTGCCTCATCAATTTGTTGCGGGCATCAATCCTATCTCTCCAAATTTTCTGCCGACCCATAACCGAACCACCGTGCTTCGGTTTTTTATTGATGTGCATAGCTAGGATCATTGCAAGATCCACCTCTTCTTCCGTATCAAATTCTTCTTCGGAAGAATCATATGACGAACTCATCTAAAATGTTCAAAACTAGGCTATAAACAACATGCACCAAATTTCATGTAAAAATGTGGAAGTTGGAAGCAATACATACCTTGTGGGTCTTTTGTCGAACACCTTGCGGGCGCCAAGCGGCGGTGGGCGGCCGGGCGCTGTTCGTCGGAGGACTGCCGCGCGCGACGGGCGGTGCTGACTAGAGAGAGAGGGAGGAAGCCGCGGCCGTGCGGGAAGAGACCGGGGAAGCGCCGGAACGGTCGTCGGAAAAATAGGGTGGCGCGGATGGCGGCGGCGGCGCGGCTGGATGGGTAGGTGTAGTTTCGCGCGAGCGCTCGAGAGTCCAGCGCGCGGGAGCGGGCGCAGCAAATAAACGGCGCGCGATGGCGTTTTCGCCCGCGCGCTGAATTACATATGCCGCGCGCGCGGTTTTTGCGCGTCCGCTGGAGCGCCCGGAATGATAGCGCGCGCTAAAACCATTACTTTTTCCGCGCGACGCGTATATAATGCGGCTGTTGGAGATGCTTTTAGCAATTCAAGAGTGGTATCATGGCTTATCACGACCATGCATGTCAGTTAACTTGGTGACTATTCTGTACCAGATCCTTCATTCGACGGAGCGCATCTTTCTGTCCTTCCTAACGTAGTGCAGGGCTGAGACGCAAGTATATATTCCCACTTGCAAGAGATAAGTTTATTCTTACATGACTGGCGACCACTCTGGATTCTGGAAGGTGACCTACAAGACATGAGCATCGAGACGTGTCTGTTGGCAGCCCTCGTTGCCAGTCACCAGGTTATTTTCCGGTACTTCTACGAAGAAACTGAATTTATACTAACAAATTCTCTTACGAGTTAGAGAAACTAACGCTAAGTTAACTAATAAATGGGGAATGTTTAGAAGCATCTCCAACAGGCGCACGATCACCTTTTTTTGCGCGCGCAGCCTGGACGGGTGCTCCAGCAAACGCGCAAAAAACACGTGCGTGGTATAATTGGTTCAACTTATGGAGCAAAACGGCATCGCGCGCTGTTTATTTCGTGCGCACACTCTCGCGCGCTGGACAGCGACGACTCGCGCACGACTTCCACCAACCGCCAGATCCAGGCGCTGGTGCCGCCGCCCACACCTTCCCCATTTGCTCCGGCTACCCGTCAGCGCTTCCCCCGCCTATCCCAGCGCGCCGCCGCTGCTTTCTCCACCTCCTCTCGTCGCTGCCGCCCCTCAAGCGCGCCATTCCTCCGACGAACAGCGCCCGGCCGCCCGCTGCCGCTCGGTGCCCACAAGGTGTTTGAAAAAACGCTTGCAAGGTATGTATTGCTTCAACTTCATATTTTATAGATGAATTTGATGCATGTTGTTTGTAGTTTTATAGACTAGTTTAAAGTCAATATTGTAGATTAGTTCATCCTATGATTCTTCCGACGAAGAATTTGATATTCAAGAGGCGGAGGACCTTGCAATGATCCTAGCTATGCACGTCAATAAAAAGCCGAAGCACGGTGGTTCGGTTATGGGTCGTCAGAAAATTTGGAGGGATAAGATCGATGCCAACAACAGATTGATGATGCACTATTCTGTAGAGAATCCCACATACCCCGAGTCATACTTTCGGCGCCGTTTTAGGATGAGCATTGAGTTGTTCAAACGCATTGCAGAGAAACTGGCGAGCCATGGTCGGTTGTTTCAGCAAAGAAGGAATGCCGCCGGAGAACTCGGGCATAGCACCTTTCAAAAGGTGACAGCCGCTTTGCGTATGTTGGCATACGGTATTCCGTCTGATCTAGTTGATGATCACTTGGTCATGGGTGAGAGTCAATCCATCATGTATGTCAAGCGCTTCGCGGTCGGAATTGTGCAAGTGTTTGGTCCGGAGTATTTGAGAGCTCCCAATGCTTAAGACACCGCAAGGCTTTTGGAGATGAACAAAGCTCGCAGGTTGCCAGGCATGCTTGGCTCAATAGATTGCATGCATTGAAGTTGGAAGAACTGTCCTAAGACATGGCATGAACAATTCCTCGGCCAGAAAAAGGGTTCCACTATAATCCTTGAAGTAGTGGCCAATCAAGAGACTTGGATTTGCCATGTTTTTTTTTGCAATGCCGGGATCTTTGAATGACATCGACGTTCTTAACCGGTCACCACTCAGGAATAAGATTGCAAATGGTGAAACTACACCGGTGGAGTTTGTAGCAAATGGCCATACATACAACTATGACTACTATCTTGCGGATGGCATCTATCCAAAGTGGCAAACATTTGTGAAGTCGTTGAAAAAAAATCGGAAAGTAAGAAAAATCTTGATTTCCACGATGCTCAGGCGGCGGCTAGAAAAAATGTGGAGAAAGCTTTGGGATTTTGCAAGCCTATATGCTATTGTGAGAGGACCGGCTAGATTTTAGGATCAAAAGATCCTTTGGTACATCATGAAAGCTTGTGTGATCATGCATAACATGATCAACGAGAATGAGCGTGGGCAAGATTTAGACTATTCTCAGTATGAGCTCTTGGGACGTCCAGTGCGAGTACGGCGGAGGGCTGCTAGGGTGGCCCGATTTGTTGCCTCTTATCAATGCCATTCGACATGCCGAAACGCATGATGATCTTCAAAAGGATCTAATCGAGGAGTGGTGGGCATGAAATGACCGACAAAACTAGTGATGTTGTATGTTTGATGTTGTATTGTTGAACTATTTGTTTGAGTTGTAATAAATTGAATTATTTATTGTTAATTTATTTTTTTTACGTGTTTGATCTTCTTGGTTCTATTTTGAATGTGAAATGTTGTTTGTGCTGGGCATGAGTGCTGTAAATTTACCGCGCCTGCTGAAGCTACTTGCGCGCGTTATATTTTACAGCGGCCGCTGAAGCTAGCGTCATACTGCACGCAAAAAGATGATATTTCGACGCTGTAAAAGTTATTTTAACACGCGGCGCGTTGCGCGTCCGTTGGAGATGGTCTTAGTTGATTATGATAGACCGGTGCTTGCCGCTGCAAACTAGTACGTTGATCGATCAGAAGCAACATCAGAGAGGTAACGGTAAGCTACTGCTAAAATAGCTCTCTTCGCAGTATCCTCGTCAGAAGGGGGAGCAAACAACAGATCAGCGTGAGCCGTTAATTAGTTCTTCTTTCCTTTTTTTTTGCGGGAGAATTAGTTCTTTTTCCCAATGTTCAACTTAAACCTAAAATGGGCACCAAAGCCGCCAAGGTATCGATCCTCCTGGCCAAAAATTCTTAGAGGATGCTAGAAAAAAGTGAAGGAAGAAGGCAGAAAGCAGTGTGCAGATGTGTCTTTCGCGAGGAAATTCCCTGCCCCACTCATGCACGGAACCACACTATAAAAGCGCACTTCGTCCCACAACATTCTTCGTCCTACAACGCACCAACACACACAAACCCAACCAAGCACATAGTAACATCGACCGATCGGCATGGCGCACTTCCAGGAGGTGGACTACTGCTCGGAGGAGGTGAGGGCGGTGGGCCACCCGGCCCGCCGCGGCGGCGGCGTGCAGGAGCACATCGTCAAGGAGACGTTCGTGCAGGAGTTCGACACCTCCGGCCGCCGCCACGGTCACCACGGTCACCACGGCCGCGGCTCTGGTCACTTCGAGGTGCGCGAGAGCAGGCTCGAGGAGGACTTCAACACCCGCACCGGGGAGTTCCACGAGCGCAAGGAGAACTTCGTCGTCAGGGCCGATGACTGAGCTTACACGTAACGGAGCACACTACGATGTGTGTATATGTATGCATGTCAGCAGTATATGTATGTGTGATGTTGCGCACAGTCGTATAGCGTATGCAGGCGTGCGTGCTTGGCGGCCATCAGCCCCTATCGCGCGCCCGTGCAGCGCTTAAATAAGCGCTAATCGTGAACCAGAATAAAGCTTCTCGTGATTAGTAGTATTACTCTGCTTCCAGTCTCTTTTGCCAGACTATTTTCCACCAAACGATGCTGCACGCATGCAAGCAAAATGATTAACGGAGAAGCAGTTCCAACCCAAAGACATGGGAGCAAGACCTTCAAGATTTCTTTGACAGCGTCGCCTCACGGGATGGAGACCAACAACAACAGTCCAGAGTAGAGGCCGGACTTGTGAACGCCAGCTTCAGATCCTTCCCAGGTGCATGGTCAGGAAAATTGGAAAACCAAATTGACGCCTGAAGGTGGAAAACCAAACTGAACCTACTTGATCAATGAAACTCTCCATTCACCAAAAACAAAATTCTAATGACCTCACTAGTACTATAAATTTGCCATTAAGAAAGAACCGTGTGCATCATTCTTCCGTTCAACCAGTCCGTATGTACCGTGATTTTCTCTTGGGCTCTCACAATAGAACAAAGACACGACTATTTCTTTCTTGATGAACTAGATCCAAAACAGAAAATCACAGATCGACCAAAACAGAAGCACAAGAATCATGCACATAAGGGATGCTGAGGTCATTCATTTTCTAGGAGCCCATCCCGTTTAAAAAGTACTCTACATGCAAGGTTCGTGCCATCCCAAGAGTCTCACTAGAAAAAAAAAGCAGCAATCAACAACAGAAATATACGATTCCTTGTCATCCAAAAACTTATAGATCTCATGATAACATAAACATAAGCTCAAATATTCCCGAACCATGTCTAAGATATGTAAATAAACTCCAAATGTTAAAACTTCAAAGTTATCGGTCCATTCTTCTGACTTTTTAAAACAAACGGTATGTAAACTAACTTCAATTGTCAAATAAAGAAACACAACAAATTCTTCAGAAAAATGGAGTCATGATCATTTGTTCACGGCGAGGTGCTGCATGAGGCCACGGCGTAGTTACGCCTCGCCACCGCCGCCGCCCGCTCCCCTCACCGCAGCGGCCACGGGGTCAGCATATGGCGGCCATGGGAACGCGATCCCAGTCAAGAGGTCGACGAAGCTGCAGCGCGGCCAGCTCATCTCCAGGAACGCCTGCTCGTCCTCGGTTATCCGCAACACGTCCTGCTTCGCGGTGGGCTTCTGGAGTAGGATGGTGCCGGGAATGGTGACCATGCTGAGCCTCTTGGCCTCATCTCTCAGCTGCGGCTCCACGGTCACGAAGCCAAGCTTCTTCCATGTGTCCTCTACCTCGGCCACCGCCGAGATCACCAAATTCTCCACCTGCACCGATTCTAGCACCTGACGACTCAAGAGATGCACGTGCATCAGTGCAATACTTACAAATGATATGTGCCGAAAATAGATAGAAACAAGTAGTGTTTCACGTGTGTTGTGGCAACCTTGTCGATGGCATTGACGAGGTGGCGCATCATCCCTTGTCTATGGTACTGCGGCAGTGTGCACGCGAACGGCATCTCCGCCAGCTTGGCGCCATGGAACCTGCAAATTAAATTAAGACACATATGTATCTGAGCGTGTTCATCTGTATATATACAATTGAAATTAAAAACGAAACTAAGACCATATGATTTCTTTATATGAACCCCCCAAAAGAAAAAGAAAATGCGGCGAAGGGATGGATGCGCCCATATATAGAGATACCTGAGCAAGGCTACCGATATGATCTCCGTGTCCTTCTGCAGAACTATGGTGTAGAAACCTTCATAGCTCAGCCGCTTGAAGTCCGATCTGCACCACAACATCCAAAACACAGTCAATCGAGTCTTGTTCAGAACCTTGATCTGCCTCACACTGAGAGAGAGAGAGGGAGAGAGAGCCCCGGCATGCTTACTCGAGGCTGTAGACGGCCTGGCGAATCATGTCAATGCCGGTCAGCCGGTCCTTCACAGGGTTGAAGCACTCATCCAGCACGCCAAACGCCACTGCCAGCTTCGCATTGCACTCCAGCAGGGCGGCGGAGTCTGACGTCATGGAGCCCCGCTGGATCTTTAACAGGGACCATGAGTGGCCTTCCTCGCCGATGCTGGTCGTGGCTCCCACCATGTTTGACAGATTCACTGCTATCTGAATAAAAAATGTAACCATGGCCGTGCTATGGTCAGCAGGTTTTATGGTAAAATAACGGATTATACTAAACTTCAAAGAAATAAAGTCCCTGAAAGCAAAAAATGTATGTTTCATCAGGTGCTTTTACCTTGTTGCAGGCTTTGCTGCAGTAGGGGGCGATCTCGTGCCCGTCCAACAGGGACGCGCGGCAGTGGTGGTGATCTGCATGCATGCAGAGGCATCATCAGTGAAGTACTTTTCATCAGTGGAGATCCTTATTCTTCAGAGACACGAGAGAGAGTTGCTTACACTTGCGGGTGCACTGGTTGCACTTGGAGAGGCCGCAATGGCCATCATCATCGGCGGAGCACAGGAAGCAGCGGCAGTAGTGGCAGACCCAGGAGTCCTCAGGGACCTGCACGGCAAGGCACTCCGGGTGGAAGGTGGATGGGCAGCTGTCGCAGCACAGCAGCTGTCCGCCGTCTGCGCACACACCGCATGCGTCGTCGCTCCGGTGGTCGTCCCCGCCATAGTTGGTCCCGTCGAGGGGGAGGGCTCGTTCCTTCCTGCTCTGCTTGGCGAGCAGCAGAGCATGCTTCTTCTCCTGTGTGCTCCTCTCCCGTTCTTTCTCCAGCGCAGCCCGTGCCTTCTGCTTGGCGTGTAAGGTCCTCAGGTCCTCCCCCTGCCACGCCTCCCGCACGCACTCCAGCAACGACTTGCCGGACTTTAGCAGGAGCCTCTCCCACAGTGCCGAGTCCTCGGAGCCGGCGTGGGACGAGAAGGTCGGGGGCGCCATCGCGGTGTTGCAGCAGGTGCACTGGATGCCGGCCCTAGTCACCGCGCCAGAGGCCTTCGCGGCGAAGCTGGTGCTGTCCACGTACGAGACCTTCTCGTTCTCTCTGAGCACACCGGAGTCGATCAGCCATGTCAGGATGGTGTGCTTCTTGGCTCCGGCCGCCGCGGTGCCGGACGTGCTACTGTTATTCCTGCTAGGCCTCCGGCTCGATGGCACGACCGAGGCAGAGGCCGTGCTCTTCTTCTTCCTGCTGTTGCTTGGAGCCGAGACAGTCTTCAGCTGGTCGTTGCCTTGGGCGCCATGGTGCATGCTCGCCGGTTCCCCAGCGTCAGATTTCTTGCCGGGCACCTTCCTGGATTCCGCTAGAGTGCTGCTCCCCTTGGGCGCGCGTGTCTTCCGTACGCGGCCATTTACAGGCACGGCAGTGCCGCCGTTGCCACCGGCCGGTGGCACGTTCTTGCCCTTCCCAGCTCTGGTGTTAGCAGGAACGATCTGAAGCGGCCTCTCGCTCACTGGTTGGCCATGGCCAACGTCAGTGCCGCTGGGAAGGTGGTTGCCGCCGCCGTCTCTCTGTACGGCAGAAGGCCCGCCATCGGCGCTAGCCCCCTGTTTCCGGGAATAAACAACAGGTGGTGGCATCCCACGGCCACTCCCGGGGGAGAACAGTGGCGGCGTTCTCCCATTGCTCTGCATCGACAATGGCCGGAAAGAAGAACCCCGCCCCGCCACTGCAGTCCACAAAAGATTCACGCATTAATTCACAATCTGTAAATTTCATAACCATGCATTCCACAAAGTATTGCATACCCATTTCATAGAGTTTTTGGACACTATTTCAAATTCAGCTAAAGTCTACACACATGCTTTAATGCAATTTCAGAAAAGATGCACAATCAAAAGACCGCTAAATGCTAATCCATGTCGCCCACTCCCACGTCAACCAGTTAGTAAATTGTGTGTCCTTGAGTCCATTGGCCATATGGTGGGAGATGAAGTGCTATCTTGGATCCAATTGACGACCCTACACCCCCTTCCCCCATTGTAGGGGCGATTTCATGGACTCTGGTGGCAAAAAACATGTCCATTCATTCTACTCAGAAGGGCACGTACTTTGCCATCCTGACGGTGTCAAGGTGCATTTGGAAGCATCCCAACATTATCTTAGCTCGCATCCTTGACACGATCAAGGCAGAAGTCAGGCAGCGGCGACCCTGTGGACGAGGGATCTAGCGATGTTGCTACTGGCAGGGGCGATGCCTAGCGATTAGAGGTGTCATGTTGTAATATTGGATGCTGCCCTTCTTAGGGGCTGTATAAATTCTTCTTTGCATCGAGATGCAAGACTTTTGAGTTTTCTTGAAAAAAAAATCAGAAGACTCTAATACACAATGATTTAAAAAGTCACAGCATATTTTTTGCACAAAACTGAAGCAATTTCAATAAGAAAAATGGAATTAGAATGTAGTTTTTTAATACTAGATTTCATTTCTATTTTAATTTTTTGGATACATTACACATGAATTTCACAATTATTTTCTTCCTATTTTCATAAGTTTAGATGCAATATACATACATTTCAAAAGAAATCAACTACACTACATATGCATTTCACTAGGTTCATAATTTCGAATGCACTACAGATGAATTTGCTAACTAAATTATATTACACAAAAGATCAACTAAATTTTACAAAAAAGTTAGATCCCTATTTCATAATTTCAGTAATACTATCCATGCATTTCAAAACTATTTTGTTCATATTTTCATAAATTCAAATGCACTACTTCGCCTTCGGAGTCGTCCTGGCATGTGTCTATGGTGAACTAAGAGTGGAAAATAGACATCTTATGTGGTCTACCATTCAGTCCTTAAAAGCGGTTTCCAATCTGCCTTGGATGCTTGTGGGCGACTTTAACAAACTTTGTGGCAGTACGAGCATTTTTCCCTTATACAGCTAGCTGAGAACCAGATGGTAGCTTTCA